AGAGAGAGAGAGAGAGAGAGAGAGAGAGAGAGAGAGAGAGAGAGAGAGAGAGAGAGAGAGAGAGAGAGAGAGAGAGAGAGAGAGAGAGACTCACTGGCAATAGCTGTAGTTGCTCTCGTGCATCTTCAAGTTAGGCGTGCTCCAGTCCAATCCCAATTCCTCAGCTTTCCCTTTTAGGAATTTGACCTCTGTATCCAGGGCCATAGTGGACCCCAGAACCATCTCCATCTCCATCCCATCCCCATGCCCTTCTCCAAACTCCGGTCCTTTTGGCGTCTTGTTCAGAAGACTTGCCACGAACCTTGCAAACATCCGTGAAAACAAATAGTGTTGCATCTGGTCACCAAAATTTTCAGCCAACACGGAAATTGAGAAGAAACACACACAAGTTCCACACAACCGTGCACTGTTAATCTTCGTATTTCAAATTTTCAATCACTCCCTGCCTTCAAAGATCTTTCCTGATGCAGACTGCAACTTTTCAATTTAACTGCAACACTTGCATGTTTTTCACTAACTTTTTAGTACTTTTTTGCTTTTTAATAGTTTTTATTACTTTTTCGCTTTTTAGTAATTTGACTATTTACTGCCGAGGCTGTTACGACAGTGAAAAAAGAAGTGAGAAAGTGGAAACAAAGGTGGTGCACCGTTGGGGGCATGGCATAAGTTGCTTCATGATTCGCATGTGGGAAGCAGGGATCGAAATCGCTGCATTAAATCGTACACCAGGGGCGAGGTCCCACAAACAAGGACTGGATCGAGTGCCTGAATCTGGATGTGCTTAATGCAGGGATGCAGAGAAGCAGATCAATCGCGATTCTCTGCACCTCTCCACAAACACGTCCAGATTCGGGTGTTAAATCTAATCCTTGCCATAGGTTAGGTTACCACCAAGTCCGGTACTCCCTGGTTCTGTCACATTTTGCCCGTGGCGGAATGCAGCAATTCTGAATGCAAAAAAAAAAGGAACGACACAGAGAAGATTAGCATTGCCCCTGCGGGAGTCTGGAAATGGGAAGGAGAATGACCCCCGTCCCCCTCACCGGCAAACACACTTGCACGCAACAGCTACTCCAGGGGAAGATAGGAAAGACAAAGAAGCACAGAAGAGGCCACCCCGACAACAGGGTGGACACAGGCTGACACACAGCAACGGCCACCCAGGATGACGCCGCAGGGGCACCAACAAAGCAAACCACCCGCACACGATCCAACTGAAGCAGAACCCTCAACGGCAGCACCAGCAGAAATGGCAACGACAGCACAAACAGCAGCTGGACCATCAGCATCAGCAGCAGAAACGGCAGATGCAACCACAAAAACACAAACACAAGACCAGCGGCAAATACGGCAAACGCAGCCGCACCAGACACAGCACAACATACAGCAGCAACAACACTGGCAGATGTCGCAACAGCAGCAGCAGCAGCAGATGAGCCAGCCAGCTGCGCAGCCCGAAACATGATCATCATCAAAAGGGGCTGAGCCAGCCGCAACAACAGTCACAACACCAGCTGCACCAGACGCAGCAGAACCCGCAGCCGCAACAACACCGGCAGATACAGCAGCAGAACCCTCAGACACAGAAGAGCACGATGTAGTCGAAGCAGCAGCAGCAGCAGCACACGATCCGGCCTGTTACACAGCCTAAAATCGACCCCGGCCCCCGGCGGCTCCTACCATCTCCAATGACAGAAACACAGCAACCAGTTCAGCAGAGCTGCCAGTTGAACCATTTGCAAAATGGGCAGCAAGGACCGGTAGACGTACCAGAGGCTAAACAGAACGAGGGACAACAAACGCAACAACTGCAGATCCAAACCGTTCAATTGACGGATCAGATGAGAACTGAGGACCAGCAGCCGACTGAGACTGGATAACGTCAACTGCGGCAACAGCAGCAACTGGACCACCAGCTCAAATTGAATAGTAACCAGCCTGCACCACAGCAGGGGCCAAGCCAGCAGTTGGTGGAGACTGCCACAGCTAGCACTCACAATCTGACAGACAACCGGCTGAGGATGGATGACATTAGACTGCAGAAGGTGGAGCAGCGGCAGAACAAAATCACACAACTGTGCACCCGGGAACCAGGGGAAGTAGGAGGTGCAGAGAAGCACCAACTGAGCCAACTGAGCCATCTGCCCCATCAGACTGATGACAGATCGACCCGACCACTAGACCCACAAGTAATGACCCGCCAAAAACACAGACTGAGAACACTGCTGATTTCTGGGATTTGTCACTGGAATGAATGCCTTGCTGTGATTCCTGCATTCTGCTGTGGTTCCAAGTCTGTGTGTGTGCGTGCCTACTGGTTTGCATGCCTTTTTGAGTGCTTGCCAGTTGTGTGTGTGTGCGTGCCTACTGGTTTGCATGCCTGTCTGAGTGCTTGCCGGTTGGGTACGTGTGTGTGTGACCCGCAAGGGTACTTACCTGTGGCCGTGACTTTGAAGGGTTGCAGGGGGGGTAAACACGCCGGTAGCGGGGGGTAGGCCCACGGCACTTAGAGCAGCTGGGGAAAAACACTCAAGTAGCAGGTAGGCCGAGCAGAAGAAGACAAAAAGTTGGCATTTTTAGAGGCCCAGTAGCGGTAGGTTAGAGGTAGGCCGGTACCAGTCCAAGTAGCCCGGGTCTAGGGCCTGTGCGGACGATAACAGAGCCTGCAATGATGTTTCCCTCCGAAATGGAGGAGGTACCTGTTGCTGGGAGGCCACTCGGCCTAGGAAGTCACCGCCCAGGAGGCCGGTAGGCCGCTATATCTTCAGGAAGAGCGGAGAGCTCTTCCTCATTTGCGGTATGCAAGGATTGGCGTCATGCTGCTGGAGCGCTAGCGCTGGTCTGCTACAGCGCTGGGCGGAGGTGAAGGTAGCTGGGAGCTCAGCCTGGCTATGGCGAGCAACCCAGCCTGAGGAGGAGGAAGAAGGGGGTAAGGTAGGAGAGTGGCAGGGCACTTACCTGGCTATGGTGGACACCGTCTTCATCACCTTGTTGGGCGCTGCATCTGGAAAGCGCTGCACCAGGGCAGCTCGAGGCAAAGTCAGGCATAGCGGACCAAGTCAAGCAGCGGCATAGCTGCTTTGGGTTGTCTTCTGGACATCAGAGCAGCATCATAGCTGCCTCCCAGTAGTCCGCCATGGCCTATGCATGAGAGAGGAGGTTGAAGGAGGGAAGCCATAGCCATGGTGGACTTGTTGTTGTTGTTGTTGTTGTTGTGAGTTGAGTCAGCAGTAAGAGGGAACTTCGGATATTGATTCTGGTACATCCATTCATTGTTATTATTATTGTTGAGGGAAGAATAAGATTCGTGGATTGAAGGAGGAGGAGGAAGGTGGAGAGAGAAGGGGAAAATTGTCATTGGTCTTGCTGGTGTACTTCTTCTTCTTCTTCTTCTTCTTTCTCTCTCCTCCGCTCTTTATCTGTTTGCAAGTGCTTTCATTTCTTTCGTAATTGGGTGGCATTGTCTTTCATTGTGAATTTGCACTTGGGAAATGACCAGGATCGTAACACACAGATGGACGGGCCTGACAGCAGAAAACACAGTCTCCCCAAAGAATCAGACGAAGGGAAAACGACTGGGCAACCTGGACCCCCCCGCGCTGCGTCTGAACTCCCTGTAACTATGGAAGGGTTCGAGATTGCCGCAGAAGATACAATGGGCCCGCTGCCTATGGATCAAGCAGGCCCGGTTGCGGGACCTGC